GAGGCAGCTGGGAGCAGAGCTGCAATCAACAGGAGGAAAATGAGTTCCGTCCCTGTGGGCACAAAGTGCTGTTCAACATCAGAAATGTCAGGAGGGAGGGAGAGGGAGGGAGAGGGAGGGAAGTAGGAGGAAGGGAAGGAGAGATGTGGATATGTCTTGATAAAGTCACGTGAGGCCAAGCTGAGTGCATCCTCCTTCAGTCACCCTTGCCACTCGGGTGGACAGAACGTGGTTGGGGAGTGTGATACCATTTGTCCAGGCTTGAGGCCTCTTCCAAGGCCAGAGGCAGGACAGCATTTCCTCCCCTTCCTCTCTCCCCACAGGCACCCAGCTGCCCTGAACCACTGAGCATCTGTGAGCATCTGGTCCCTTCCAGGTACTCCAGTGGAGAGGACCAGAGCTGGGTCAGGCGGGAGATTTCTTTCCCTTTGGTGTTTTTGCTGCCCATCCTGAGAACCCGAACCCTGCCCAGGCTGAGCAATCATGCTCCTGGCAGAACTGGAAGGCCTCTGGGCATGGACACGACTTCCCTTCCCAAGGGCCCTTTTTGGGAAAACATTTCTCAACAAAATCTCCAGAACCACTCACCTTTGCAATAAAGCTCCCCATCTTTGTCAGTGACATTCGTGGACTCCAGACTCTTCCCACAGATGGCGCAGCGGAAACAAGTCTTGTGCCAAGGCTGAGGGGCACAGGATTGTTACATATTTAGTGAGGGGGCAGCATATTCTATTCCATTTCAAGTCCCTGACCAGCACCATGCAAAGGAGTGGCACTGTCTGAACCATTTACTTCATTGATGGGCCCCCAGAATAACGTTTCCAGGGCATGGCTTTGGAGAAAATGAGATGCTGTGGTCCTAGCCAGCAATTCTCACAGCCCTGTAAATGGATTTATCTTGGTAATTTGTGTGTGTATTCTTTCAGAATAGACTAAACCAGAAAGGGCTTCCCCACGCCAAAAAGATCCATGGAACAAACTGGTCAGAGAAGGACTTGGGCTTGGGACAGTGGGTAATGTTTATATTGAATATAAAGTTAAAGAAGGAAAAAAGTGAAGAAATAAGGCAACTATACAGGTAATTCAACCTTGTTTTAACTTTCTGTGTAATTCAATGGCAGAGTTGCATGGCTTGGATCATGCAGAAGGTTGCTTTCCTTCTACACAGCCTGGAGGTTCTATTAGGTCTCATATGTTCTTGGGGGTGGAAACTGCTCTTATGTTTGAAGTCAGACTTCTCCAGGGCCCTTCCTCTCCCCATTTAGTATAATCAGGATTTTTCTCATTCCTCAGGTCCAACTCCTTTGGTGAAAACCCTGGTTTGGGGCCAGAAATCAGAGCTTGCAGAGCACGTATGCATTACTGTCTCCAATATTTGATGAGTTTCCTGAGAGCTAGGACATTTGTAAGTGGAAATGCGTCTCGCTGCTGTGAAATATTTTCTGTATAAATCAGTTGTGATGCCAGCAGCAGGTTGAGTTATGCAGTGGTTCGGGGTTCCCAGCACTGACACCTTTCTGGAAGGACTGTGAACACTGAAGGGCACGTGTGCCCTGTACCCCCAGAGTTTTTAGCTGGGAGCCTTCCACCTAGTAAGCTAACGCTGGTTGCTTTGAACTGCAGTAGTGCTAGCTGTCCAAGGGCACTGCTGGATGACAGTCCCAGCCTGGGAAACTGCATGAGGATATGTGGCTTCTAAGTGGTTCTGGAGCTAAGGAGAATGAGGGGTCTGCTCCCCCAAACCCCCACCCCCATTCCCACTTTCTTCTCTCATTCCTCCCAACTGATCCCGTGGAAATGAGCAAATCTGGCTCATACAAAAGGCCTTACCTTGCCACCTCCCATGACCTTCTCAGCAGCATAGACCGACTTCCCACATCGAGGGCACTTCTCTGACTCTCCAAACTTTGCAGTGAACTTGGAAGGGTTGCTGCTGGTGGTGGCTGAGCGTGCCGACTTTGGGGACCTGGTAGAAATAAGTGAATGAAATGCAGACCTCCCTTGACAAATGGTAGGAACTGTGTGACCTTAAGCAAGTTACTTTGCTGTGCCTCAGATGCCTCATCTGGAAAACGGGGATAATCATTGTGCCTTTCTCACAGAGGTGTTGAATGAGGTGACATGTACAGCATTTAGAGCAGTGCCTGCCTGACATATAGTAAGGGCTAATAAATGTCAGCTATAATGGGTTTAAATCCTTCCTTTAAGACAATTTATTGAAAGTCCACATGTCCACTCCAATTCCATTCTTATCATTGGCTTTAACTTTAATTTTTATTCTTTCATCAGTCACAGATAACTATCACTGTTATTTTGAGAAGGGGCCTATTACACAGTGTAAAAATATGATTTATTTGCAATTTAAATTGTTTTTTATAATAAAGTTGCAAAAAGGAAAAAATAAAAAATAAAATAAATAAATCCTTCCTTTCTGTTGTAAAGCACTTAACAAATGCTCCCGGTATGTTAGCTTGTGTTACTGTTATGGTTATTATTTGTTATCATTGCTGTGCTTGTTTGTTTAGGTTTTCCCTACTATCTGGAAGCCCACTGGTTTCCTCTCTGAAGTGAGTCATGAAAATCAGAGGACAAGATGGGATTGTGACAGTTGGTGCTAGTCAGTTCCTGACAAGCCACTTCCAATGAGCTGCTGCATTCCTCATTGTAATTCAACTTGTCACCCTGCACCCAATGGTTACCTGTCCCCATGAGAGCAAGGTCCAAAATAGAGGCACCAAATAGCCCCTTGTGTTTTTATATCTTTTGGTGTTTCCTAGTGCATCATGTCATTTGAGTCCCCCACAAGCCCTATAAGTAGAGCAAGGATCAGAGGGGTAACTGCCCAAAGCCACGCCACTCATAACTGCTGGAGCTGGGCTGAAGCCCTGGGTCTTCAGGTTCTCGTTCCGCTTTGGGCAGCATACATACAGTAAAGTCCTGCTGTCAGAAAGTGAGCTTTCGTTAATGCAAAACAGACAATGCAGTTGGTATCACCTTTTCTTCAAGAGGAGTCTTCAGCTGAGGTTGAGTAATGAGAAAAATTAACGAAGAGAAATTCTCTCCCTCAGATACTAATCGCACGTCCTTCCACTTTTCCTGGCTCTGTGGTGGGTTACTCTTCTTCGAAGGGATCGATGGCTCCTAAGATGGTCTAACTCTCTCTGGGGGAGGACTGCCATGGGACATTTCCTCAGCTGGCTGGGCCTTTCTGGCCAGTCCCATCTCAGAGCTGAGCCTGGATACCAGCTGTCTGGACAGCAGCTGCAGGCCAGTAGCCGTCAGCTACTAGCTGTCAGACTATCCTCAGCTCTGGGCTGGAGGCCAGTGCGATCATCAGGAAAGCAGACCCGAGGGGCAGACTGGTAGAAGGAGGTGGGTAGCGTGGTGTCCCAGTTTCCCTGGGATAATGTTAGGGGAGCTTCAGCACTTGTGTTGACAACAGGCAGTGAGGGAGACCACAGAACAATTGTTAATTGTTTACTCCTGAGGCAAAGCCCACCCCTGCAGACCCACTCCTCCTGGGATGCGGACATTAGTCATCTTTCAATCCAAGGGAAGAAATCTTTTCATGACAAGCACACAGAGAATGGCCATCGCTTCCCTGCCATATTTATGTGATTTACACAGAAACTCTCAGCGGGGAAGAAAAGAGCCTCCGTGCAGTTTTGCAAAGGTCAAACAATGGAACATCTGTATATTCTGGGTTTTCTCTTGACATGCAAACCAAGAACCATGGTGTAAAAGTAATTGCCCTTTAGAAGGTGGATAATTTAAAAAGAGTCTTTGGAGAGATGACACATTGTTAAAACTTGGTTAGACTGAGTATTCCTATTGTTGGCAAGTCAACAATAGAGTCCATTCTCCCACTTCCAGAAAACGTTGCTATGGGAACAGAATGAACTGTCCTGATAACTGAAGACTCTAATGGGGGGGGGGGGGTGAGCAGTAACTCACTGTTGGAACTGGAGGCCGAGGTGCTCGCCTGTGTCCGTGCTGAGACAGCCGGCGCCTTGTCCGTACCCGATCCCCTTGGGGCCATACCTGCGCCCATAGCAGACCTTACAGTAGATCTCCGACTCATGAGCTGCGACCGTTGTGCTGTCGAGAGCCTTTCTGCAGGCCACTGCCGAAGAAAGGAAGGGTCAGCAGGTTGGGGTTGACATCCTTCTCTCCTTCCCTGCACCCACACTGCCATGCTGGGGCCAGAGACCCAGCATGAGGGGCCCTTGGGCCAAAAACACAACTCTGATTCCTGACCAGAGCATCTGTCTTGCATGATAGACTCCAACACATCTCGATTTCACAGATGAAGAAATTGGGGCACAAAGAAGAGAAGGAATATGTTCAGTGCTACCCAGCTAGCAAGGGGCAGAGGCCAGCACTGGAACCAGGTGTGTGGTCCAGATCTGCTGAGAACAATGTCCCTGAGTGTCTCACCCCAGATGACCACAGGGGTGTGTGTATGTGTGAGGGGGATGATGGTTAGGGGCTGAAGCAGGAGAGGAACTTATTTTTTCTTAATCATATAAGAATCAGGATTGAGAAATTTCTGTACTTATCATGGCCTTTGAAGGGCACTGTGATATTCAAGGAGACGCTCGCCATCGAGGCTAATTTGTGTACAGTTCTGGAAGCAAGGGGTGGTGAAAGGGGTAGGCCTGCCTCACAGACCCCTTAGGTTTCTACGGGCTCAAGCCCCCCAGTCACTATATATTACCCAATGTAAAGTTTCCCCAGATATAAGACAATCAATCCCCCATTTTTCCAAAGAGATTTATAGGAAGATTTTTTTCTGCAAACTTGAAAAAA